TACTTCGTTCAGTTACGTATTGCTAAGGTTAATTGCGTCCTGTTACGAGAACTCATCAGCACCTACCTAACCTAACCTAACAACCTAAAACCCTAAAACCTAACCCTAACCTAACCTAAAACCTAACCTAACCCTAACCTAACCTCTAACCTAACCTAACCTAACCTAACCCTAATTACCCTAAGGCTAAAGACTCTAGTAACGCCTATAGTACGCCCCGTTACTCCCTAGAAACGAAGTATAGTAATAGCCTCTCTAGCTACGGTCCTTATAAGGTTTATACTAGGTTTTAAACCCTCCTAGGTTAAAGGAGTTAAAAACCTAGGAATATATTAGAACTACTACTAGGATATTAACGACTATAATTCTATATATTTATATAGGACTACTAGTAACGCTATAACGATTAGCTTATAAGACTCTATAGCTTATTTAATCTAGCTATACTTAAAGCTATAGACTAGTAAAGACGCTAACTACTTTATTTCCTTAACGCCTCTAGGAATAATAAGCGCGAATACTTAGGAGCGTATATAGGGGGTAGTAGATAATTATCTAAAGAAGGAAGTATGCGAGTAAAAATAAGAGAGAGCTAAACGAGTAGCTTATAAGTAAAGGGAGGAATAAAGGACGCGAAGGGAAAGGATTATAGTAAAGGAGAAAAGTTCTATCGACGGTTTATTTACTTACTTATATACTTAGGAAGAGAACCTTACCTATTATTATCGCGCCCTTTCTATTAGTATCCTAGGTCGGAAAGTCGCTAGGGAGGAGTTTAATAGGTAAGATCGCACCCCTATAGATATTAGCCTATTAGGGGATAAGACCCTTAGCACTCCCCTTCTAACTTACTTCTAAGTATACTTAAAGGCGTTATAAAGACCTCGATTATCTAATTAGGTATCTTCCTTAATTATAGTTAATTTAAATTTTTATTTTTCCCCTTTAAAGTAAAGGCCGCTAGTTACGCGACTCTAGTAGAGATAAAGAGGCATAGAGTAAAGAAATCTCTAAGACTTATATCTATAACCTAAGGCCCTTAGAGCTATATATAGGACCGATAATTAGATAATTGCATAGTTAATTGCTCTGCTAATCCTTAGCTATATACTACGCGTACTTTAGGTATATACCCTTATCCCCGTTAAAGTACGCTCTAGGTAAGCTAAGCTTAAGTAACTTCTTATCCTAACTATTATTCCGAGCTGCCTTATTACGTAAACGTAGCTAGCTCTCTTATAGCCTGCTAACTATAGTTATAATAAATAGCGATAGCTAAGTAGCTTAAAAAAAAGTAACCTAAGGGCCCTAGGGCCCTTAAAGGGGAAGAATACTATATAAAAGAAACTAAACTAGCCTTTCTTTTATTATTACCTTTATAGCTACTCTTTTCTTAATTAGTTATAAGCCCCTAAGCTCTATAGCTAGCTAAGACTACTAATAAGGGCCTAGGCTCTTACTAGCCTTACTATAGCCTTAGAAGCTATATATAAGTAATAATATTAAAAAAAAGAATTAAGAAGCTCTCTTAATATATCTTTTTAATAGCTTTAATAATATACTTTAAGCTATTTTAGGCCTTTATAAAGCTCTTTTAGCTCTCTTTATCCTAGGCTAGCTTATAAGTCTATTAAGCTAAGCTTAAAGCTTTTTAAAAGATAGTTAGCTTATTAGTCTACTAAGGTTTAGTATTATAAAGTAAGTAAAGGCGTATATATAAGTACTATTTATAGGATAATATTATTAAGCTATATAAAGCTCTTCTATATATAGCTAGCCTATATATATATATATAGGATCCGGCCCTTTATATATAACTATATAGCTTAGGCTATAGCCTAAGCCTATAACCTATAATAGTTAAAGACTCTTATATAATACCCTCTCTTAAACGTAGCGCGGCGCTACCCTACTAATAGCTTCTATACTATTAAGCTTATACCGCTAGCTCTACCTAGCCCTTTCCCTATTAATCGTACTAGCCTTACTAGCCTTATTATCCCCGCGCTTATTAGCCTAGGCAGCTATAACCTAGCTCTATACTTATTAGCTAGCTAGCTATTTAAATAAGGGCGTAACCTATTATATACGCCCCTAAGTAGCCGGCGGCCGGCTTAGACCTATATAAGCCTTAGGTTACCCGTCCCCTTAGCCTTAGGTAGCTTCCTTTCCTAAGGGGTATATAAAGCGGTATCCCTCTTTCTTCTTTCCCTTCTTTTTCTTCCTTCTTTAACTATAGTAGTAGTAGTAATAAGTAAGTTCTACTTTACTTAAGGCGTTAGTTCGCTCTTAGCTATATAGGCCGCTCTATTAATATATACTTATAGTAATAGCTATAGTAGTAATAATAGCCTTAATAATAATAATAACTTTAACTAGTAAGTTCCTTACTTTATAGAGCGGGAGGCCGTAATCTATAATACTAACTTCTATAATAAATATATCTACCTCCCCCTCCCCTACCTCCTCTTTCTTAAAGCGTACGGAGTCGTTCGTTAACGCTATACTAAGCGCGGCTAATAATAGCTCCGCCGCTACCGCTACTCCCGCCCGCGCCCTTACTACCGCGCCTACCGCCGCTACTAATACCTCCGCTACGCTAGCCGCTCTTATATCGCCTTTTAAGGTAACGACGCTACCCTTACCGCTACCTATAATACCTAGCCCCTTAGCCCCCGCCTCTATCTCTACTACCCCTATAAGTCTATAGTTAAGTAAGTATAATAGACGTCTTTTATTAACCTCTTAAAGTATAAGCGCTAGGTCTAGGCTAGAGCCGCTCGCGCGGCCCCCTATATACGGTATACGTTATAAGAGCTCCCTTACGCCGACTAAGTTAGGCGCCGCCGCGGCGGTAGTTATTACTAGTATATATATGCCGGCCACGCCTATAAGGCGGCGCCTCCCGTCTTACTCGCTACGGCGTCGGCTTAGAAGGCTAGCGCGTATAGGTAGGCACGGGGGGCTACTAAGAAGCGCCTTCCGCCGCCGTAGCCGCCTACCGTAACCTCCGCGCCCTAGAGCGCTAGGGGCTTATCCCTAAGTAGGTTCTTCCCCCTCTACTCTCCCGCCTCCGCTACTAACTCTCCTAGTACTAGGGATACCGCTTCCGTTACCTTATCGGTGTAGGGATTAGCCCCCTGTTAGATAGAACTTTTAAAATGCTCCTCCGTATAGCTTTTCTATAAGCATAGGCTTGCCGTGCCGGCATCTCCTCTTCTAGCTCCTTAAAGGCTTAAGCGGCAGGTCAGCCTTATAGCTAGAAGACTTTAACGTCTTCTGGTACGTCACACAGGCCCCCTCCACGGGCCTCAAGGCTCCCTTCGAGCCGCTTATTGTTCATGGCAAAGGCAGGCCTAAGGGCGCCCTTAACCTCGAGAAAATACGCAGCACGAGACGAGACCCCTCCGCACACGAGATCGTGGAAAGCGTCGAACGCAGCGAGGCCACAAGGGCGGCAGCAGCAGCGCCGCCGCCGCTGTCAACCACCAAGAGAAGTGCGGCGATAGTGACGAGAGACGGGTTGCGATACCTTCAACAACGGGGCGATATGTACGAGCCGGGCACATGCATGCCACGGGCGTATCAACGAGTTATTCGGCGCACGCCAGTCTCTGACGATGAGGATGACCCTCGGCCCGCCCTAGGCTCGTCACAAGATCAGCCAGTCGACCTCACACAGGATAAAATCATCGTCGCGATGCCCTCAAACGAGCCCTTACACGAGCCCTCACACGAGCCCTCACAGGAGCTCTCGCAAGATGCCGAGCACGAGTTATACCCACCGGCCGAATGGGACGAGATGGCTGCACAATGGGATAAGGCAGACGCAGCTGTCGAGGAAGAAGGACAGGCATAGCGAGATTTATATAAGGGCAACCTATTATAGAGACGTGACGGTCATATCGGCGCCAGGGCGCCTAATACATTGATTTCTACGTGTCGCGATAACCTCATTTATATATGCGTTGCCGACCTAGTAGTCTTAAGCGTAGGCGCGGGGAATGTGCGCACCAAATTATGCGGTAATTATCGGCGCTGCGCCTTGACCAGCAACACTTCCCCACAAAAAGGTTTACCGGATAGCCAAAGTGGTTTACTAGCTAGTCAGGGGCTTACTTTACCTAGAGGAATAGATCTTATATACGTCAAAGTTTTTAGTATAACTTAATAGCAAGATTTAACTTATATAATGACTGTTTACCTATTTATTATCTTACTCGAAGTGTCAATACTTATCAACCATGAATCTATCAACTGCCCTACCTGCATGCTCTTTAACTGCGCATCATCCACCTAGGGTCAGTATATAAAAGCCATGATCGATGATATTTGTTCACCAGCCGCGGCCGTAGCCGTAGTCCCAGCCACGGCGGCCTCCATAGCCATAGTCACGGCCATACCCATATCCACCGTAGCCGTAACCTCCGTAACCGCCCTGGTTGTCACGCTTTGCAATTTCGCTCTCTTCACGCTTGTAGGGGCCCCAGCCATAGCCTCCATAGCCGCCGTAGCCGTATCCACGATCGTAGCCACCGGCTTCATCGCGCTTCTGCAGGCCGGCATCGGCCTCGCCCTGGTCCCGCTTGTAGTAATCTCCCCAGCCATATCCACGGCCGTAACCGTATCCACCGTAGCCGTCACCGTAATTACCGCCGTAGCCGTATCCCCCGTAGCCACCCTCGGTGGCTTCCTTACTCTCCGTGGCCCCGGTAGCCTGTTTGGTGGCTTCCTTGGGAGCGGCGACGGCCGCGCCGAGGAAGAGAGTGGCGATGGTGAAGAACTTCATTTTGATTGTTGATGGATAAACAGTAAGCTGGGCGAACGATGGATGCGCCCTTGCTGTATACGTAGGCCGTTGAAAAGATGAACTGGCTGAGATTGTGATGTACTGAGTGAGATTGTGATGCTTGTGTTGGTTTTCGTTCTGGTCGAAGGAGAAGATGATGATACTTATACAAGAATTTTGCTTCCTCTCGTCGCTGCTCATTCATACTCAACCTTGCAGGGATCTAAGAAAAGACACTCCACTAACACGACTTCACTGCATATAATCCTTGATCCACTTCACGCCCACGATATTGGTCCCTTTTGGGCAGATGTTCCGCTCAGGCCGTAGTCCTGGGATTGTGAGTCGCCAGAGTGTTCTAGTTAGAAACTTACAAATCAAAACGATCATACTAGGACGATGTACTCCTCACGAGGCTGGGGGCGGGGTAGCTGATAATGACGTGTCCGCTAAAGACGCAAGGTGAGGCGAACAGTATTTAGAAAACAAAGCAAACAATAGAGACATTTGATGCAAGGTGACACGCAGATCTTGCCAGCAAAGCGGACATTAGGAATTATAGATTCGGGAATAAGGAACTAAACTAATCAGTGCTTTACTGCCGTTCTAGGAATAACTCTAAGGAGACCGTCTACTTATGTCGCGCCTGCATGCATTAGAGGCTGTTAGAGGCTGATGTGAGAGCAAGCTATGTCGGCGATCATTGGTAAAGAGTTCGGCAGTTGCTAGCCGCTATGCCGTGCTGGAGGGCCTTCACCGGTGTCTTGCCCGTCGATGCCGGCACGGCCGGATGCAAAGAAAGGGAAAAGAGGGGGCCGAATATATGTAATCCTATTAGCTTCACTTCTTAACGCATACTTTGATAGAGAGAGAGACACGGAGAGACTTAAATGCCCGCCTCGCAAGCGCTGATGATTTAATTGGTCTTCTTTTGAGCTATGCTCCAGCTGCTGCACATCTTAGGCATATCGGGCAGAATTAGAAGCTCTGCTGACAAAATGCCTGTCGATTCCCTGTCGTTTCAATATCGTTATACCACCGACCCAGCACCGAATAGCGGGGAATCCCGATGGCTTGTCCTGTTTAGCAGCCATCGTGATCGTCGCTGTCCTGTCGTTTCATCTGCTAGCGCAAACCGTGGATGCTATCGGACATAACCTACGTTAAGTCCGAGAGGAGAGAAGGCGAAGGAAGATATAAGAAGGTTTAATAAATATTATTAGCATCCTATACTAAGCTTACTATTACTTAGGATAGTAGGCTGTTTCTACTTAAACTGCCCTTAAGGTCTTACTACTAATATAGCCTATCCCGTATAACTATCTTTTTCTTAGGAACTATATATTTAGACTAGCTATCCTTTCTAACCCTTTAAAGATTCTAATATTATAGAATAATAAGAAACCGTAATTACTATAGGTATAAGCTTAGCTAACTAATATTTATTGCCCTTGCCCTATATAGTCTTAGTAATAAATAAGAGTAGATATATAAGATAATCTTAAGCTACTATTAATAGTAAGAAATATATTAAACGCTAAGATATAGTATATAAGAAGGTTTTATTTAGTTATTAAAGGCTAATATAGCTAATACTAAAAGTTAGTTTTAGCTATCTTAGGTATATATAAAAAGAATTAGATATATCTTTTAACTTCTTAGTTTACTTATTATATAAACTTAATTATCTTAAAGTACTTAGCTATTATAAAGATATTTAACTTATTATATAATAGTTAAAGATTAAGGGACTATATAATATTATATAATAGAAAGGAAAGAGTAATATAAAATAGGATTTTAGTAAAAAGAGTTTTATTACTTAAAAGTATAAAAAGTAATAGTTCTAAAAGCTAGATAATAAAAGGAAGTAAACTTCTCTTTATATAAATAAATCTAAAAGAACTAAATAGTATATATAGTTATACTTAATACTATATTAAATAATACTAAGGAGTAAGTAAAAAGGTAAAATTCTAAATATTTAAATTTATTATATTTTAAAGATATTTAAGTTTAAAGTTAGTTAGGTATATTTTAAATTATTAGTATTTAAGGTCTTTTATTATCTTTTACTTAATAAAGAGAGTTTTTATTTTTTAATCCTATTTTTATTAAGTATCTTATAAGTATATTAAAGTATATAAAATATAAAACTTTTCTTACTTTATAAAGTATAAACTTTATATTATTAATATTTAATTATTAACTTATATAACTAAGAAAGAGTACTATTACTACTTTACTTATAATAAAAAATATATTTCCTTATAACTATTATAAGCCCTTTCTTTATATATATAAGTTTAAAAAGTAGTATTTTATTAATAAGTTATAAAGATATTTACTTTATTATAAGTCTAAGTATTAGCCTAGACCTTAGCTAATAAGAAGGTAAAGTAAGTTAAGTATTATATATAAGTATATATATAATAGTAAAAAGTATAATATATAGTTAGATCCTTTAAGGCTTATTATTATTATATAATAAAAGGTATATATAATATATATCTTTACTTACCTTATAATAGTATAAGCTACTAATATATAAAACTTAATATTAAAACCTTATTAGTATAAGGGCTTTATTTTATATAGGCTTAGACTAATATCTAAGCTAAGCTTATATATAAGCGGCCTTTATCCTTATAAAGAGAGATATAATAAGTATATAAAAAATATAAAGGTAAAAGGGGAAGTAAGGGGTTAGATAGGTAGGGTAAAGTTATTTAATTCTTATAAGGGTAATAATTATAGTAAGGGAATAATTATTATATTGCCTTAATTATCCTTCTTTCCTTTATTTAACGCCCTTCTTTATATCTATCTAGCATCTTAATTAGTAAAGAAGATCTTACTTAAAAAGGCTACTAATATCCTCTTAACTACTAAGCTTTTTACTAGTTTTTCCCCTTTATTCTAGCTATTACTATATATCCGTCTTATCTCTTACTATCTTTTTAAGAAGCTATCGCTACTTTTACTTCCCCTTATACCCCTATACTCCTCCTTATACCTCCTTTTAGCTCCTTCTTCCTTCTTTTATACTAAGGCTTTTTTAGCTTCTTAGGAAACTTTTACTAAGGGATATCTCTAAGAACTACGAAATTAAGCTATACTTCGCGATATACCCCCTTAGCTAGATCCTACCCCTTAATAGTATAGCTAATATAGCTTTAGGCTAGTAGGCGTATAAAGGAGGTTCTTAGCTCTATACTTATCTCTTTACCTATTAAAAGGTATAAGCAATAAGCGTAGAATCGGGTAATCGTTAACGTAAGCGGAAAGATCGGTCGAAGGAGTATAGGGTAGGACTTCGTCCGGAATTTATAACGAGTATATAGGGGCTAAATAATATATTAAAAGAACAGCGTTGCAAAGGATGCTTATAAACTTACTTATTCTATCTACTACTCCTAGGGAAATCCTTTGTCTTTTATAGACCATTGCTCGCCTACTAGTAGACTAATTAGTTAGCTTTCTAGTATATTCTATAGTACTTAAAAAGCTCTATCTATAGTATGTCTTCCTAACTTAGTAGGCGGTCTAATTATAACGTGATGGTTAACGTAAGACTATAGGTTCTAGCATAAGTAGTAGATTTAACTAGAATGTTCTATGCCCTACCTATTCTCGTATTACGGATATCTTTAGAACCGCGGGACTAAAATAGGCAATAGGGTATCCGTTCTGCTTGTAATTAACGTATGTATCTTATATATATTTTATTTTATTAGGATAGGCTTATCTTAACCCGCCTTTCCTAAAGGAAGGTATAGATATTAAGTAGAGGTCTTTTATCTTTAAGGGTTATTCCCTTAGACTATATTATAGAGCCTCTTTTTACTAGCTTATTTTATAGAGCCTCCCTATGCCTATTATTTCTTTATAACAGTAAAATAGGAATATAAGGGTATATTCTTATATTACTTAAGGAAAGTAAGGGCCCTTTTAGGTCCCTAGGCTCTTTTAGACCTACTTAAGGAATAGGGGCCTAAAAAGGGGAAAGACCTATAAGAAAGAGGGCCTTCTTAAAAGGGGTAACTTTATAGCGGCTTTTATATTACTAGTAGGTCTAAGAGGTCTCTTTTATATACTTTCCTTACTAATAACGGCTTAAAAGGCCGGCCTACTATAAAACCTCCGAATTAACTATCTTTTATAGGCATAGGATAGAACTTAGAAAAACGATCGAAATAAAGGAAAGGTTAGTCTTCTTTAGTATTAGGCCCTATACCTTCCTTTACTTCTTAAAGTAAGGATAAAAAGGCAGCTATATAATCCTTTAAGAGAGGTGCCTTTCTTACCCTTTTAAGGTTTAAAATAAAAAGACTAATAAAAGAAGCTACTTCTAGATCTTCTTATTATATAAGAAGAGGCGTAGGGAGGTAAGCGTATTTTAGCTCCACTATTTTCCTATAGTCTCCTTTTTTATTTAGATCATTTAATTTAGTAGCTTTCTTTACTTTAAAGTCGGCGTTATCCTTAACTACTTTAACGTTAGTTTCCTTTTCTATTTTCTTATCTAGGACCTCTTTTTAAGACTATTAAAAAGGGGGGATTTAGATCTTTTAAATTTACTAACGTTAAGAGAGTAAAAGGGGCTTTTAATCCCTCTTTTTATTAAAGGAGCTAGATTTATAGAAAATTACGTTCTTAGTAAAAATAACCTTTTATAAAAGAGGAATCTAGATCTAAAAGATATTTATAGAATTATAGCTAGTAAGGTATCTAATAAAGGCTCTAGGATAAGTTTTATTTTCTTTACCCTATAGCCCCTAGGGTCCTTAAGGTCCTTAGGGGTCTAGTTCTAAAGATAATAAGCGGTTTTAACGATTTCCCTTTAAAGGTTATATAGAAGCCTTATAGTAAGTCTTATTATATAGGCCCTTTTTATTTTAGTACCCTTAAATCTTTCTACCCTTTTATTTTAAGCCTAGGTATTTAGGGCTAATAAGAGGGTTAAAATAACCCTTTTTAAAGCTAATTTAAGATATCCT